GGGACCTCACATGGTCGATCACCTGCAAACAACAACATGGTTGCAGCGTGCGGGACTGGCATCACATTGTTCTTCCTCATAAAATCCATCCCTAGGATTATGGGGTGGTCATCCATCTCAATGACCGTGAACTCCACCTGCCCAGTCTAACTCCCAATGGTCATGTCAGCACTCCTCACCAGACCTTGGATTGGCTTCGCCTTCGCATTCACTGGCTTGGACCAACCCTTGTCCTCTTTTACCTTTAAGCCCAGCCTCTTAGCCTCTTCGGTGCTTACAAAGTTATGCGTGGCACCTGTATCCACCAACGCGTGTGAGGTTGTCCCATTAACCTTCACCTCCGCGTAGAGCACATCCTTCTTCTGGATGCTCCTCGGCGCTTCCATCTTCCCATTCTTCTTGGTTATTGACCCAAGAAGTTGGACGCTCTCCCTAGCTGTGCTTCCTTCTCTAAACGCTTTCACTATCGGAGCCCTTCGCCACTTTCTTCTTCATGGCACTCAGCGCCTTCTTTGGGCAATTCCTCACCATGTGATGTCCGTTGCACAGGAAACACTCAAGCCGCCCTTTTCCTTCGTGCCTCTTCCTTGGAGATCCGGTGCATTGCCCAGCCTTGCGCCGTTCCCGTCTCTTTTGGGACTCTCCATCACTGCGCTCATCATCGGTGGTTGGTGGAGACTGTCTCCCGTCTTTGCCCTTGGGTTTCCCTAGCACTTTGATGTCATCCAGCTTCTCCGCCTCTGCTAGTGCAATTGCAAGGTCTTTTACTCCCTGACTCTGCAACTCTCTTGCTGCCCAAGGCTGCAACCCATCCAGGAAGCCATACAACGCCTCTTTCTCCGCATGTCGGGGATCTCCAATAGTAGCGCGGAATACTCCTTCACATAGTCTCGCAATGTCCCCACATGTCTTAGCTTGCGTAGCTTCCTGTATGCCTGAAACTCGACATTGACAGGGTAGAAGTGCTTCTTCAACTCTCTTTTGAGCTCTGCCCAAGTCCTTATCTTGCACAACCCCTTCTCTAGGTCGGCGTACCGCCTCCTTTACCATAGCATTGCAGTGTCCTTCAGATACAAGGTAGCGGTTTGCACCTTCTCGTCTTCATCCGCGATGTTGACGTTCTCAAAGTACCGCTCCATGTTCCAAATGAAGTTATTGATCTCCCGGGCATCCCTTGCACCATCATAGCTCTCAGGTTCTGGTGCACGAACCTTCCTCCTGGTTGGAGTCAAATTCCCTCCATTGCCAGCGACGATGGCCTTCTTGCACAACTCCAACTCCACTTCTAAGCTAGCTACCCTTGCCTCCAGCTGCCTCAGTGAGAGACGAGTTCACCCCTTTCTTCGAAGGAGTTGACCTTCTCCTCCAACTCTTCCACCCTAGCAATAAGACTAGCAAAGTGAGCGAAAAATTCTCTTATATGGGATGTGGGCTTACCAGGGCCAACTAGAGCTTCCTCAAGTCTAGTGAACCGCCCTTCTCCATCATCCCCTTGAGTCGTGCCTCCAATGCTGCCATCGAGTCCTTCGTTGAGAGCTTCTTCACCCTGGGGACGTTAGCACCTTCGTCACCCGACGTAGCCATGTACACCTCTCTCAGTTACTTTCTCACGTAACCTGGCTCTGATACCAACTATCACGGCCTTGGACTTCGCAAGCCAACCGTGCGGCCTTAGATGCTTTTCAACCCTCTTAGTTGCACCTAAGTCAGCCTTACCCACTCAACCACACTAACTTGAACACAAAGTTTAGGTGGAAGAATGCCTTCACTATACAAGTTAACTTTATAAGTATAGTCGTGTACAAAGCTTTACAAGGCTCTCACACTCACACTCACAAGTGCTTCACTCTTAGAGCTCTCTTGGATCTCCAGCATTCGATGCCTAGCAAATGAAACCCCTCACCCTTATATAGCCATCCTCCTCCCCAATGGACGGCTAGGATCATTTTGATCCAAGGGCTACAAACTCTCATCTAGAACTCTCCATAGAACTATCTAGGACAACTACCCTCCAACTACATTCTAGAACTTTCTACACAAGTGTAGTACATGGTAGGCCTCTCCAAGATATTCTAGGATGTTCCAGACCCATCCAGACTCCTCTGGACACTCCAAGGTTCTTCCACATTCCGAAATCTTCCAGGCCACTCTAGACCCTTCCATCACGTTCTAGAGCCTTCCAGCATACTCTAGCCCGTTCTTGCACCTTCCGGAACCTTCCAGCGCATTTGGCCACTTCAAATGCTGCTCCTCGTGTCACAGAAATTCTCAGGGCGTGACACTATGCCCATTCCAATCTTGTCTAACTTCGCTAACTCCCTCTTCTCAACCCGTATCTTGTTCGTTCTAAAAACACATCTTCCTATTCCATCTTTTCTCGAATCTCCTTTAACGAAAGAAATAGAAGCTCGAGAAGGAATACCAAAATCTAGTTCACTCGCTGAGTCTTTTTGCATCAATGGCTGAATGGTTAAAGAGCCCAACCTATACAAGAGGCAAATTCGTAGGTCCGATTCCTATTGGATGGACTTGGACTAGGAAGCACGGATACGGATACGGGATACGGATACGACACGATACGGACATGGCGATACGGCAAAATTCGAAAAAGTAGGATACGGATACGGCGGGGATACGTTCATAAAAAATATTTTTTTCCACAATTTTTAGTAATGTAAAATACACAAAAATAAAACTTCAACAATTTTTAGTAATAGAACATACATAAAATAAAACTTCAAGCATTTATTTATTTGTTTTAACCCTAAAGTTTATTTATTTATTTGTTTTATAAGTAATTTGAATAATTTTTAATAACTTTATTTCATTTATTTATTTGTTTTATAAGTAATTCATAAGTTTATTTATTTATTTATTTCATTTATTTTTTTTTAGAGGGATATATATTTATTTCATTTATTTGATTTTATTTACAGAGTAACTAACTACACATAAAAAAATTAAAAAAAAAATAAATAAATAAATATGTAAACACAGACACGACGAAACAGGGGTAAACAAAAAATGGTATCTCTCTCTCGATTAAACACAGAGACGAGACGACGAGATACAGATCGACCAAAAAACAGATCGATCGAGAGGACGAAACAGATCGAGATTATGGTATACAGAGATCGACGAAACACAGATCGACAGAGATCGATGCAAGCAAACAAACAGAGGGAGCGAAAGGGAGAGAGAGATCGACGAACCTGATCGAGAGAGAGGGACGACCGTCGAGCTGCTGTTCGAGATCGACTGAGAGGCAGATCGGTGGACTCCTCCTCTCCTTCGCGGGTGCTGTTCGAATTCGACCTAGAAGGTAAGTTAGATTATAATTTTTTTTGTTTTTGTTTTTTATTTGATTTAATTTTCATATTTTACATTTTGGCCCCATTTTAAGTTTTTTAAATTATTTTTTTGCCCCCGCCGTATCCATACCGTATCACGCCCGTATCCTGACCGTATCCTCCCGTATCCGAGACGTATCCGAAATTCAAAAAATTTAAAAAAAATTCGGATACTCTATTTCCCGTATCCGATACATATCCTCGCGTATCGGGCGCGTATCCGTATCCGATACGTATCCGATACGCATACGTGGCCTATTTTGGAGTATCCGTGCTTCATAGGACTTGGAACGTTTAGTTCAATCGCTGCTCACGGAATTTATGCATATAGCTTGCCCTTATACCTTATGGGGCACTTCACTCTCTCAACACTTGTTCTTCACTTGCTAGGTGGGGAAAGAAAAGGGATAGATGGCTGAAAATCCCGCTTAGAGATCGCAACTAAAGTTAGAGTAGGAGTATCATCCATCATCTCCTATCGAGGCCTTGGTTACCTACCAATTCCATTTGATTTGTTGCTCTGCAACTAAGGACGAGATCACCATCACATGAGTTTTGAACTTCTGAAATGTTCTCTTTAATAGGGCCGCCTTGACCAGGCTCTTCAATGTAAAACTTTTACCCAAAAAACTAGAACACGGCATAAGCTAAAAGCATCTCTTTTTTTTTAAGTGGAAACAATGGTGTTCAAAGCATTGTTCTACATTGTCTTGTTATTGTAGTGTTGCAAATAAATGAAAAACAAGCTAGAAAACCAAGTTATAGGGAGGTCGCTCAAGCACACTACAAGGGTGTTCTACAAAGACGGGTAAGTTCTGCTCAAAGTGTGCTTAAAGTCCACTAGAGCAAAGGTGATAATTCATCTTCTGCAGAGGTTCTACATCCACCACCTGAAGCACATTTTAGCCTGAAGACCAAATCGGAGATCCTGCTAAGCACACTTGAAGACGATCATATGGATTTCAATCCAATTAGATTTTGGTTTAGGTTTTGTTTTTTAGAGAAAACATGAGTTCCAGCATCTTTTGATTGAGAGAGATAACCTAGTGCATTCATAGGTTTTCAAAAGCTTTATGAAACACATGCTCCTAGATCTTTGAAACAGATCTGAATGCATTTCCACATTATATTGGGAGTTTCTTGATCTAGTGTTTTGAAAAAAAACACATAAATTTGCATTGCGCACTAAGCCTTGTCCCTTGGCGTAACGGGATTCGAAGTGACGACCAGTCACCCATGTCTCCGTTCATCTGTGTATTGGATGTTTAATAAACAAGTGAACATGCCTTTTTTCCACCTTTTTTGGCAACTATTGCCACTTTGCACTTGCATTGCAGCAACAAAACAGCTAACCAAACATTGTTTCTAACAACATTGTCAAATGTGCCCTAAGCATTTGCAAAAAAATTCTGAGTCTCTCTCTTGATGTCATACCGGCAAAAGTCTGAATTATCCTGTAACTAGGGATAGTATGTAGCCATAAATTTCAAAAGAACACCTACTATATGATTACAATAATAATGATGATAAAATCACCCACCCTAGATTGAAGCATTGTAGAAATCTAGATGTGCAATAAAAATTGCAAAAGAAAACTGACACAGGAGTCATGCAGAATATATCAATCTTGCCAAATAATATGGACATTACCTCCACTTCTCCTGAAGTATATTCTGGATCCAAATTTGAAAGGTGGACAAGTGTTCCTTGCTCATGTGTGCTCTTCAATCTTTCCTCCCAAGGCTGAATAGCGACAGAAAGAAAAAAGAAAATGCTATATTTACAGCCTTAATGGTTGTATCCACAGCCCTCCCTCTCATATGTTGGTGCCACAATGTGAGAGAGAGGTTTGGGATACAACCACAATGGCTGAAAATTTAGCAATTTCCTAAGAAAAAAGATACTATTATCAATTTTATCTTTGATATAAAAAAGGAGTAGGACAGATTGCAGTATATGTCAGCATTATCACAGAAAAATATGTACACATTATCTGGTGCTTATAACACTAAACTGATTTTAAAAAAAAGAACAAAATGGTAAAAGTTCACAACCACATGCTCACAATATAAAATAAACCAACAATGGAATAAATCGACTTTAATTTGTACAAGTTAGCGCAAGTACAGAAATTTTGCTGTAGATGCTGGAGCTAACAAAAAAATTGCGATAAACAACAACAAAAAAAACCTTGAAATAAAAATCAAGGAAAGCTTCTAGATAGGTCTACAATCTTAGAGGTTATGAACAATTATTATGGTTAGGAAAGAAGTGAGCCATCCTTATTTGTAGGGTGTCTCTAAATGCACCCCAGAAAAATGGATGGACACCCCATCTCAAATTTGAATTTCCTTCTTTGGGGTCGCGGGGGTGGGTGGCAGCGGAGGTGGGAGGGGGGCATGCTCACTGGAAAGGGTAGGAGGGAGACACGGCTGTCGACTATGAAAAGGGAAGAAGGGGATTTTGTTAGTTTTGTATATGGGACCAAACGACAGTGTTTTAAGCTTTATGAGTTGAAGCACACATGTGGCATGATCTGAGCCGTGAAATGAGAAAAAGGCTGCATGGCACAATCTCATTACATGGACTATTGGGTCAGATTTTTTTGTAAAATTGGGCAGAAACCAAAGAGCAGATAGAGAATGTATATTCGTGGCACAATGGAGAGCTAATGTCAAAATTTTAAATGAGACTAAATTCTTAATTACTAGAAAATGTAGGGCAGGAAAATAATAATAACAATTGAAACACATCAAATTTCATAAGCAAATATTATACATAAATAATAAAACAAAAATATAATATGAGGGAGTAAGGACCACTCACAAGTGCCTTAAACCATTTGCTTCTCTCCTGCAATCATGTTAAAAAGAAAACATGTAAGAAACAAAACATAATTTCAACAAATAGACTATTGCAATACCAATGCAAGAAACTATTGCAAAAAACACAAGGAAAAACAAATAAATAAATAAATAAAACAACGCTATCAACTATATAGCACACACTTCCATGTGGAATCACTTTTATCATGAACATAAGTTTGCCTACTACACCACAAGGATGTAGGGAAGATCCAAAACTGGCTGAATTGAATTGTCAGCATTGCTGGAATGATTTACACAATACAAAATATCATGCAACCTTCCAAGCAACAGATAACCAGCAGGGCAACATGTAATAGATGCCAGCAGGGAAATGTGTCATGAAGTGAAATGCAAAATGTAGTTAACCAATGCATTTGGTTGTCAGCAGGGCAAATGTGTTTCTAAAGTTTTTTGCAAATTGCCCTGTGGTGGCGGCCTACCACTTTTTTTCTAAGCGGGGGGCATGGATGGCACTTGATTTAAAATCCTTTAGCACTATTGAGTTATCTGCAATGTAAATAAGAAGAATTTTTATGTAGTGTGCACAGCAATCTTTTGAGAGCCATCGGCATTAACGTTTTGAAAAAAAATACAAGTCCCTTTTTAACATTTTTTTTTTTTTTGATAAGTAAGTCCCTTTTTAACATTTAGAATTTGTTTAGAGTTCTATTTGCTTTATGCTCATGCAATTAGTTAGTAATTAAGCAATGGAACTAAAATACAAAGTTGTGTATTTCAAGTAATATTCCTGCACAATATAATTTAACCCATCACTCAGAAATGTAGTTTGTCTAAGTCTAAGATATAAGATTTTAACAATAAGTGATTACATTAATCTAATTCAATGTTATGATATCATTACAAAATATTCCAAATGAAAATTGTAATACAACTTACATCATCAGGTCTTCGGGTGACTTCACCTTCAGTTTTCCTGTCACCAGGAGTCTCCCTGGCAGATACCTTAAGCAGCTTCCCATTGGAAAGCTTCGCCATCTTCTCATCAGTCTTCTGCTGAAGATCCTTGTCAGGCCCAAAAGAAGAAACTTTAGATTTTGTGAGTTTCATCATCTTCTCATCAGTCTTCGGCTGAAGGTCCTTGTCCCACCCAAGAGAAGCAACTTTAGATTTTGTTTTTCCTCCAGAAGGAAGAGTATCTGCCAAGTCCTTTGCATTATTCCCATCAGAATTGATGCTCGCCTTCCGAACACCATTATTGTTCTTGTTCTCACTTAATTTAATAGAACTATCAACCCTTGCTTTCTTAGAAGGTCTATCTTCCGAAGCACCAGTATCTTTAACAGATTTTATACCCCTGTCCGGACCCAAAAAACCACTTCCACTTCCACTTCCACTTCCAGGTCCAGTTTTTGCTTTCCCTTCAGGATAAGTAATAGTTGTTACCAAGGCCTTCACATCATTCTCATGAACTGTCAATTTATGAACGCTGTTCATATTCCTGTAATCAGATAGTTTAACAGAACCATTAGCCATTGATTTCTTAAACCCAGCTTTAAAGAAGTGAGCTTTTTAGTTTATTTAGGCCCTTTTGAGCTGAAAAGAATAAGATGAAAACCAGAAAAGTTTTACCACACATCCTAACAGTTCAAAGTACAACTGTTTAAGCATGAAATTTCAAATTTTAAACTAAATAAACTGCGAATAAGTTCTACCAAATGGGTCTTAGACAGCCTGCTCTGCAAAGCAGCAAAATCTTTGGAAAAATTTATTTTATCTTGAACTTCAATGTGATTGACAGGAACCTTACTCATTTTAATCACAACCTAATCAGAAATAATTCTATACCTAGTGGTTTTATCTCCTGAAACAGTTCCCCGTTGACCACTGGTTGTAGGCACATCATCAGAATCCATTGCAGCACAAGAAGCAGGCTTTCCTTTAACCAATGAATCTTTCAAATCTGCACATCCTTTTGCCACCAAATGATTTGAATGTCCATCTGTCTTTGTTGTTTTGAACTCTTCAGGAGGGTTTTTCCCTGAAGGCTGGAGTGTTTGATTACATGCTACAGCTTCCTCTTTCTTTTCAGAAGCAAGAGGAACACCACTGATCTTTTCAATCCCTTTCCCTGGAGTTTTGAACTCTTCAGGAGGGTTTTGCCTTGGAAGCTGGAGTGTTTGATTACATGCTACAGCTTCCTCTTTCTTTACACAATCAAGAGGAGCACCACTGATCATTTCACTCTCTTTACTATTAAATACAAACTTAACTGTAACAAATTCAGAAACCAAAAACATGTCAGAGTTTGAACTAGCAGAATGATACAGCCTATTGAGAATGTAGAAACCAAGCTATAACAGAAGAATTCAGGATATAAAGACAACCTTCAAGCCCACCAACTTTATCGTCCATCTTATCGGATATTGTGCAGTGTCTAACATCGAAAGTACGGTAAAATATGTAGTCAGCCATTCGAATTTCTTGCTCAGAAGGTTGCGGGTTTCGACTGTCCTTTGAAATGCAGACAACATTGCATTTTCCAGCAATTGCTTCCTGATTAAATAAATGGAAACTCAGTGAGCAGAATAGTCAATTCACTTAAAATAAACTTGTACCAGTCACCAAAATAGGAACTCAATATATTGTAACAATTCATAAACTAAAGTTGCTCAAATTACCACCAAAGTAGAGCCTCGGGAGCAATCGTCCAGAAGTACATTACACAATCAATATACAGACATGCACTGATATCAATGCAAAATAATTTTATAATTAGTTGTCCTTTATTTCATTTGCGAGGACACTGTCAAACTATAGGCAACTAGGCTCATCCATACATATGAGATGTGAACATTACCAATCTATATTTACAAAAGCATGTCTACTGATAATTCCTAAGTAGCACAGACACGGACAACACTAATACACCGACAAATAGATTTCCGAAAAAAATGCAAGACATGTTAAAATTTTATATTTGCATAAATTTATTATATGCAAAATATATGAATAGTTTATTCAAAGGTAATTGAAAAAAAAATAAAATAAAATAACACCAATTACAATTAAAAAGTCATATTCCATATCTTAGACATCAAAATATCATCCACATAACAGTTACAATCTCAATAATGCAAAACAATTATACAATTTAGAAATACACATGATGTATTCATCTTAGTATTTCAAAACAAATTTAGAAAGAATAAGATGCATTCCAAAGAATACAAAACATTGAGCTTCTTCACATAGCTCTTGTTCAGATGGTTCAAAAATTGTCGCCAGAGTGTCTAAGTGTCGGACACGCTTTTTAAGAGTGTCCGCAGAGTGTCTTGTCCAACACGACACACCTCCTGTATAGAAGTGTCCGTGCTTCTTAGGATGATTCCAATTTTGCATACAATAAGCCATCATTGGCTAGCTTCTAAATGCTGGAAGCTAAAATCCTAAAAAGCTTTTGGCTGGGTAAAAGGAGCCTAAAAATGAGGCTTTTGGCTAAGTTTAAACCTAAAAGCTGGTTTCAAAAACAGTTTTTCTCACCACATACATGCACACACACAAAAAAAACAAAACAAAAAAAAGAACCAGCAGAAAGCTGCACCTAGCGGATTAGTTACTATAGGATCCTTAAACCTGGACTGAAGAAAGTCTCTAGCCACAGGCTTCAAACTGGTTGAACAAATGGTTTATGCACTAAGATGGTAACTGGATCACAATGAAAGCCTTGTTGTGCTACCTATAAAACAAGCCCCCACTTCTCAGAACTCAACAAACCATTTAGGATGATTCAGTTCTAGTGTGGCAAAAACCACAACAAACCAGCTCACTTGCACCCCCAGTGAAAATCTCACATCCACTTAGAACTTCATATCAAAGGATTTTCACAACGATTAGGAAGAACAGGAAAATTGTAGAATTTATTCATTATAATAATCTTTGATGTGATGGACTTCAAAAGCATCTCATTGTGTTAAGAATAATTTAAGTGATAAGTCGTGGCCATAAAAAAAAATATAGTCCTCAAATATCACTTCATATAACAAGATATTTCACCAGTAACGTGCAAACCTCGTACATAAGAGACAAGTGCAATAGAACTCTTATACTTTATTCACCCGCAAAAAACACTCTTACACTTCGAGGTATGAGGCTCGTTTTTTTTTTTAAATCAAAATATACCACAGGTGCCTTTGAGTACAGCAAAATTCAGCCTTTTGTATAAAAGGAATTGAATACTTGTTCAGACATATCCTAGCAATAAATAAAATAAAACAACAACGAACAAACTCGGAGTCAAACACTGACTTTCAGTCTGTAGCATGACACTGAAAACCTTTTTGTGTCAAACAAAAACATCTAGACCTTCCAGATTGAACTACTCATAAATCATAATTGGACCCAATTGATCTGTCAAATTTAAACAACAATCTAAGAAGTCTCATTGAAACTTAAATTTAATTTAATAATAACAAGTAACTGATCCTAATTTAACTCTTCGCATACTCCTGTCTATTCCTTCACAACTACAGCAATTGTCTATAACAACCATGCACAAAAATAGAATCCAAAATGAAAGGCTTGAATTACTGTGTAAACCAAAGAAGAGATAGAACAACACTAGAATTTTCATGCATATCCGATTTTTCAACCCATATATCAAATCTTGATCTCACATAGAATACCAAAAATAAATGCCAAATGGGACCAAATGACATGAAAAATAACATTCTAATAGAAAATTACTAATCCAAAGTACTAGAAGTCATCAATTGGGTTGGACCCATCCATGTACAAAATATGAACTGCAGAATACAATTAAAAAAGAAGAGAAAGAGCATAAGAGAGATACGATACTAAAACAATTTACAAAAGTTCAATTACCAAAGGATTAACATTCGCCACACCAGCACCTTCACCCGAAGCCAAAAAAATTTCGTTCGGAAGTGCCTCTTCACCTCGAAGCCAATTTAAAATCTCTGAAGGGTGGAAGAACCATTGAACCTTTACTTTTTTTGTCTTATCTCCATTCTCCCATATCTTTATCAGCTTACCAATATAAGGCTTAGGTTCGCCTTCCTTGTACATATATACGCAGTCATGAAGAATATAGTCAACACCATCATAAGTAAAAGAATCATAAAACTGGACCTCTTTCTTTTTTCCACCAACTCCTCTCTTTTTACCCCACTTAAACTCAAGGTTCTCAACTTTGTCTGCTTCAGCTGAAAGGGACATAACTGCAATCCTGCAACCAAAGCCAAATAGCTACAAATCAAGTGTCCTATAACCTGAAAAATGGAAATATATTTTTCACTGAAAAAACACATTTCTTATTGAAAAATAACTTGCAACAACCACCCACACAATTCAAATAATTCAGATACATAGACCCAATACTATTGTTTGTATCATGCAAGTTAGATTCTCTTAATAAGACCTAAAATAATACCATGGTAAGAATTCAATATAAATATGAGGATTACTATAGAAAGAATTTATTAAAAAAAGAAAAAGAATAAGGCAACATGTTAAACAAACCACAACGAACAATCCCTAATAGCAATATAATATCAACCCAAACCTAGCAATCCAGTACTCATTGTGTGATGGTGACAAAAGAGACTTCAAGTCAGGGGCAAAGCTAGGGGGTGGCAGGGGGTGCCATGGCCCCCCCTTGATTTTTGAAAAGCATGTAAGTAATGTTGTGCATAGGACCTACTCTCATACATTATAATCAATAATATTTCCCCTTGGCTTGGCCCCCTTGATTTTGGAAAACAAATTTATATGGTATAGTGCAAAGACATTATTTTGAAAAACAAAAATTATATAGTGTAGTGCAAAGACTTTACAACTAGTTTAATATAATGACTCTCTTACATTATAACTAATGGCATTTCACTATTCATGCTTTGATGGATATAGTTTTTAAGGAAAGCTTTAACCTATAGACAAATTCCCAATAATGTACACTTGACATAAATTCATATTTATAATTTAACTTACATACTAAGGTTTATTTTTATTTCCTAATTATACTTTTGCATTCAATTTTCTATTGACTGTTATTGGCCCTTTAAAATAAAATCATGCCTCGCTTCAAGCATCTGTTGTATAACAAATTAACACCATGAAAGATAACAAAACAAACATTTGTGGGTTATTTACAAGTTCTAAGCATGTCACAATCTTTCAACCGGTTCACCATATTAGCACACAATTGACATAAAGCATTATTTGGGTTTTCAATAAATCTTGTGCATGTTTCAATAATTAGTGTAATCTTTCAAGCTCTAATTCACTCTGACTAGGGTTTTATTGATCTACCCCTACAACCCACAAAAAAGAAAAAAAAAAAACAAATCAAAACAAAACAAAACAAAAACAAAACATCTATCCACATTAAAACTTCAAAAGAAAATACTACCTTTTTGCAATCTCGCGAACAAAATTTTCAGAAATTTCTGGTAAATACTCTAAACCAACAAATTTCAGATGATTAAAACAAATATATATATACGTGATGAACAAATTGGAGAAGAGAAAGTTACAGGTGTTGGGTTTCTTTGTGCTCGAAACCCTAGGGGGGGCGAAATAGGGAACCGTTAACAACCTCGTTTGACGTCGTTAGGGTTTGCGTTGATTTTGTTCGAAGAGTTTTCGCCGTGGTTTTTGCGTCGAGCCTTTGATTCACGCCGTTCCCGTCGCCGTCACCGGCGGTTTTGAAGCATTCGAAGTAGGTGACAACAGAGAAGAAGTGCAATGAGAGTGGAGGGAAAGACGGAAAGGCATAAATTGTGCTTGAGATAGACAGGGTTGGGTCTGATTATATAGGTAGGGATTTGATCATCGTCCTTCCAAACAAATGGGTGATTCTATTTTAGACCATTGGATCAACAATTATCAATCTATCTATCCCGATCAAAAAAAAAAATCTATCTATCTATATATGCGCCAGATAATTATAAACATTTATATTTGTTTTAATATATAAATTATGTTTTTTAATATTTTTTATAAAAATAATTCAATAATTTTATTACTAACTATAGTATATAAGAGAAGTTGAAAAAAGATACTGCAGTAACTATATACAAATTGTATCCATAATTATTTGTATGAGGAGATTTTAAATGCTGATGAGGAGATTTTGACCAAATCAATAAATGCAAACATGTGAATTGAAAAAAGTTAATAAATGCTAATAAGGAAATTTTGACCAAATCAATTTTTAATAAAAAAATTTAAAAAATTCAAATGGTTCATAAGACCATTTGAATTAATTTAAAACTCTCTTTTACTTAATATATATTAGCCTATCACCCATGCTATGCACGTGATAATTATAGATATTTATATTTGTTTTAGATTTTTTTTAATATATAAATTATGTTTTTTAATATTTTTTATAAAAATAATTTAACAATCTTATCACTAATCATAGTGTATATAAGAAGTTTAAAAGGGTACTGCAGTAATTATACACGGATTATATCTATAATTATTTGTATGAGGGGTTTTTAAATTTTAATCAGAGATTTTGACCAAATCAATAAATGCAGGCATGTGGAAAGACATGTGGACTGAAAAAAATTAATAAATGTTAACAAGGGGATTTTGACCAAATCAATAAATGCTGAGTTTTTTTTTAAATAAAAAACTTAGAAAATTCAGATTGGGACCCGTGCTATGCACGGGATAATTATAGATATTTATATTTGTTTTAATTTTTTTTTAATATATAAATTATGTTTTTTAAGATTTTTTATAAAAATAATTTAACAATTTTATCACTAACCATAGTGTACAGGAGAAATTAAAAAAGTTACTGCAGTAACTATGCACGGGTTGTATCTATAATTATTTATATGGGGGGATTTTAAATGCTGATTAGGGATTTTGACCAAATCAATAAATGCAGGCATGTGGATTGGAAAAAGTTAATAAATACTAATCAGGGGATTTTGACCAAATTAATAAATGCTGAGATTTTTTTTTTAAATCAAAAATTTTAAAAATTAAGATTGAGATATTAGAGCTCCCATAAGGCTTTGGGTTTAGAAACCCCCTTTTCCTTAATATATTTACAATTATCTATATATGTGAATTGTGATTTTTAAATGTCTTTTTTTTCTTCCTTTTTTATATTATATTAAAGTTTAATATTTTGATAATAATCATATGTGTTGAACTTTTCAAAGAATTAAATGTCTTCTTTTTGTTATTATATTATATTAAAGTTTAATATTTTGATAATAATCATATGTGTTGGACTTTTCAACAAATTAAATATCTTCTTTTTTTTATTATATTATATTAAAGTTTAATATTTTAATAATAATCATATATTATATTAAAATTTAATATTTTGACAATAATCATATGTGTTTGACTTTTCAAGGAATTAAATGTCTTCTTTTTTTTATTATATTATATTAAAGTTTAATATTTTGATAATAATCATATGTATTGGATTTTAAAGAATTTTTTTTATGCTTGTTCTTAATACATTAAAGTGTTATTATGAGGATAAGACTTGGGGGGAGAAGTCAATAAATGCTAAGTTTTTTTTTTAAATTAAAAAATCAAGAAATTTAAATTGAGAGATTGAAGCTCCCACAAGGCTTGGGGTTAAAAACCTCCTTTTGCTTAATATATAGTATAGATGTGTTGAGATTTTTCAAAGAATTCATATGTGTTGGATTTTAAAGAATTTTTTTTTATGCTTGTCCTTAATACATTAAAATGTTATTATGAGGATAAGACTTGGGGGTTGGGAGAAGTTAATAAATGCTAAGGTTTTTTTTTTTTAAATCAAAAAATTTGAAAATTTAGATTGAGAGCTTGGAGCTTCCACAAGGTTTGGGGTTAAAAAATCCCCTTTGCTTAATATATAGTATAGATAGATATATATACTTATGCTTATTTATTAAGCAAATGGGGTTTTTTAACTCACAGGCCTTGTGAGAGCTCCAATATCCTAATCCTAATTTTCTAATTTTTTGATTTAACAAAAAAAAACCTTAGCATTTATTGTTTCTCCCAACTCAACCTCAACATTTATTAACTTCTCCCAACCCACAATCCCTTTTGACTTCTCTCATAATTACTATAGCATCATTTTCAATTTATCTCATACACTATGGTTACACATAAAAATAAAAAATATAAGAATTTAGCTATAGATCTCAAAAAAATATAACATCAAATTTGAATTATGATTTAGTAATATAATTATGTATTTTTTATATACATATATATCTATCAAAATTTTAAATCACTTAATGTAACAAATTAATCAATTTTCTAAAATTATTAATTTTTTAATTTACAAAATATATTAAAAAAATATTAACTGATTTATAACAAAAATATTTCATAATCTCTCCCTCCTAATCTCTCTCCCCAATTTAAAAAAAAAAAAAATTAAAACGTCATTCATTTTCTCTTCCCCAAAAAAATCACATAATATTTTTTATTAAAATTGTAGATATCTATCTATATCTTATATATTATATTATAACATAAAAAAAATTAAAAAAAAAATAAAAAAAAATCTTTAAAGCTTGTCTAATAATTATAATATATATATATTTTTTAATTTATAAAGTTTCGTATATAGCACGGGTTACCACTATCCATATATCTATCCATATCTATACTTCTATACTATGTATTAAGCAAAATGGGGTTTTTAACTCCAAGTCTTGTGAGAGCTCTAATCTCCCAAACTAAATTTCCTAATTTTTTGATTTAAAAAAAAAAATCTACATTTATTAATTTCTCCCAACTCCCAAGTCTTACCATCATAATAACACTTTAATGCATTAAGAAAAAACATAATTTTTTTTTTTTAAAATCCAACACATATGAATTCCTTGAAAAGTCTTAACACATATGATTATTATCCCTCATAATAACACTTTAATGCATTAAGAACAAGCATAAAAAAAAATTTTGAAAAATCCAACACATATGATTATTATCAAAATATTAAAGTTTAATATAATATAATAAAAAAAAACACATTTAATGCCTTGAAAAATTCAACACATATGATTATTATCAAAATATTAAACTTTAATATAATATAAAAAAGGAAAAAAAAGAAGACATTTAAAAAAAAATTAAAAATCACAATTCACATATATAGATAATTGTAAACACAATCCGTGCATAGCACGGGTGATATGCTAGTATATATAAAAGGAAAAAGGGGTTTCTAATCCCAAATCTTGTGAGAGTTCTAATATTCCAATCTAAATTTTTTAATTTAAAAAAAAGTCAATATTTATTGATTTTGTCAAAATCTCTTTATCAGCGTTTATTAACTTCTTTTCAATCCACTTGTCTTTTCACATACCTGCATTTATTAATTTGGTCAAAATCCCCTGATTAATATTTAAAATCCCCTCATACAAATAATTATAAATACAATCCATCATTGGAGCTGCTCTTAACTAATTTTATCAAATGAGTCTCAAATTGAGAATATCAAAAATCTTTCACTAAATTGAAGATGCTTGGGAGTTTTTATCAAATTACTGTTTATAAACATTAGATTTTCACCACTACATGTCTCAGTTGACCACTTCTTTGCAAAAATTTGTAAAAAAAATACAGCCAGACATTCGTTCGATCGTCTTCTCAGTCGACCGGTATTTTGTTGCAAGTTCAAAATCTTCCGTGTTTGAACGCTTGGTATCAAATAGAATTTTTACTCAAATTTAGTGAGAAAAAAGATTAAAAAAAAATCCACCATTGGAGTTGCTCTTACACCCTTAATTTTAAGTTTTATTTTATTATTAATTAAGATTTTACTTGTTTGTAAAATTACTTTTAAAGATCTACAATAATAAAATGGCACGTGTATTTGAATGGACTGAATAAAGACATTGTAATTCATTTGATTGTTAATTTTTAGATACATAGTTTTTGGATTATTTGATTAAAAATTATGTGTATTTCATGCATGTTACGGCCTGGTTTGGCCAGTGATTTTTTTGGCCAAAAAGTCACTAAAAATTTCAAAAAATCAATAGTCTATACTAAAGAGTCAAAGATTTTATTTTTTCTCTATTTTTTGCACATCTTTTCGTAAAAAAATAAAAAATCATCCCAAATATATTAGTTTTTTTACATTATATTTTAGTTAAAAAGTCAAAAAATTATTAAAAAAACATGTTAAGTCATTAGATTAGATGTCAGTAAATAACTATTTTATTGAATTCTATATGTGGTTGAAATATTATGGAGAAAGATATATACTCAAAAAACTATTTCATTCTTTTAAATTATTTACGAAGTAATAGCAATATTAAAACTAACGTATAAATTTTATGTTATTTCTTGGCTTCAACTTCTAAAAAATTAAATAAATAAAATATTAATACAAATTAAATAAATTTATTTTATTTTTTGTCTGAGACTTTTATATTTTATTTTATTTTACTAAGTGCAATACATATCATTAAAAAAAACATTAATAAAAATTATGGTTGCGTTTGGTAGAGTTTTGTAAATATGATTTGAGAGTATGAGTTTTATTTTGAGCTTGTGAGTTTTGGAATTATGATTTGAGTATGAAAATTTTGTTTGGTAAAAGAGTTTTGAAAAGAGTTTTGAATTGAGTGAGGAATTTTTGATGTGACATATGATATTTGATATAAAAACTTACAACTCATAACCAAAACATACAACTCAAAATTCTATTAAAGCACATAATTTTTTTTTAAAAATTCAGAAAATATTTTTTTCGAATATATAAAAATTAACATATGTCAATTGCAAAAAAAAAAAAAAAAATTGCGCCGTTCC